GGAGGGTGGGAACGCGGTTCGAAGATGCGTCTGCTGTGGTTCCCGGGATTTTGCCTGTAGAGGTCTTTGCTGCATCGACCAAGGGATGTCTTAGTCAAGTGGCCCTTAGTAAGGCGCGCTTATTAAGCTGAGGTCAATTGTCGAGTCTGCAGGCACGCCGAAGAACAGGGGGCGTTGGACGCAGCTGTTATCGGTTAGCCAGAAGCAGCTGCGAGGTCAAGCCTCGGGGTACGGGGGCGCCAGTGAAAGAAAGCATTGTAATAGTTTTTTTATGACGGCACGACTTTGAGGCAGCGAGCCTTGGAGAACGAGGGGGGGGGACGTGGGCGTCCGCTACAAGCCTGTTCTGAAGTCATTTCAGTCACGACAGGATGGAAAACACACAAAACAGTTATTTCTTGTACACGTTTAGTGGGAAAATAACGCCTTCTAATTATGAGCTTTTTTAAGATTGTGAGGTGCTCATTCATTATACATCATATCTGATAATTTATTAATGCTGCCTATAGTCTATACAGCATGTTTCACATCTGTTACAATATTTTGCGAGAAGTGTGTGACTTCTTCCTTAAACCGTAGGCGAAAACGTACTTTTCCTTAAACAGGATGCACACAGCGCGCAGTTTGTAAACCTTGAATTCAAGTGTAGCAGTCAGTAGGTTTAAAAATTATTCGGCAATTTAGCAAATTTTTTTTAAAACCGAAAGATACCCTTTCTTTAAGCATGGAATTTAACGAAGGCGTAATTTGCTGCCAAAAGAGTACGAGAAATAATCTTTTCGTGCATGCTTTCCATATAATATATTTGAATTTGTAAAGGCAGTCAAACTCAATGATGTAAATGCATACTACTTAAGTAGCCACTTTTTACAGTTTTCTTAGTGGTCAGAACGAAGTTCCTTAAAAAAACCGGCATCATATCGCGACTCAAATTACTTCAAAATAGACTACACGATAATCAATGTTTCAACCTTACTAAATGCTGATTACCGAGAGAGTATCAATCTTTCGCACATGTCATAATAGTACACGAATTCTAGGCCGTACTCTTAGCACACGGGGCTGTAATCAAAGAACGAAGGACCGAATGAGGACTCGGTGCCTCGAAAAAAGACCGTAGGGAGTGGTGAACAGAGACAGGTAATAAAGATCGCGGTGCGTCAACCAATGGGAAGGCAGCCAACAAGGTCAGGTGGTCAGGACACGGGACAAAGCAAGTGGGCACAGGGTAGGACAATCAGTGAGTAACTAAGCGGGCTTAAGGCCGCGTGCTTCGGCCAAGTCGATCGAGTCCTAACACGCAGTTAGTAGCAAATAAAATCTGAACATGGCATTAAAATGCTGAGTGTCAAACTTGTGATTAAGCTCACGTTTCCCTGCGGAGGCCTCGTAGTTCATTTGACCAGAGATTTGAATGTAGCAGAGGCTTCCTCTTGCCCTGGCGTAGGTTCGAATCCCATTGATGCCGCCGAGGTTTTCAAGGTCGGGTCAAATGAATGCTGGACTTCAACAGTTTCCCGTTGTAAGAATTAAGACAGACTCAGGATTGAGAAGAAGAAGAAGCAGAGGGAGATGCGACCGCTGACACAAGGCTTTTATTCGCCTAATGTTTCAGCATCCGTCGCGGATTCCTCATTAGAGACATCAGCAGGCAAACAGTAGCAGAAACGGGTTTCCGAGACTCAGGACTGCCCGCGCACCCATTATCCTCCCCCAAATTGTCCCCGTCTGATGTCTATGTCACGGAATCCCTCCCTATTTTTTCTTGCTCACATCTCTCTCTTCCTCTCCCTCCCCCCATTCCAGAACGCCGTCTGGACCCCCAGACCAACCGCGTGTACTTTGTCAATCACAACAACCACACCAGTCAGTGGGAGGATCCTCGAGAACGCGGAATGAATGAAAGTCGTCCTCTTCCACCGGGTTGGGAGAAGCGTTACACCGCTGCCGGCCAGCGTTACTTCATTGATCACAA